AGGGAGGGTGGGGGGAAGGGGTTTTAAGATTCAGTTTTTGTTTCTCATTACGCTACTCTGATTTGATTGGTAATAAATTAAACTAATTTCCCCAGGTCAAGTCTGTTTTGCCCATGATGGTAATTGCTGAGTGATCTCCCTGTCCTTCTCTCTCCCCTGCCCAGCTGAGGAGGGGGGTGATAGAGCAGCTTTGGTGGGCACCTGGCTTCCAGCCAGGGTCAACCCACCACAGTTCCTTTTTGGCAACTCAGGTGAGCCTCTAACCCACAACCCCCATGGGGGAAGCTTCTGGCAGCTTCTCACAGAAGCCTGTAGCCTCACCACCACCAAAACCTCACCACGCAAACCCAACACAACATACACTTTGTGTCGTTATTCCGAGTGAAATGTGTGACAGGTTCCTTCTGAAGGACCATAGAAAATTCCTGCAGGCAAAAGAGCAGCTGTACAAACCTAAGCAGCAACTGCTGTTAGATTTTCTGTGCATGCACCTATCAGTCCCTATTTATGTGCAGTGCTTTTTCACAAGCAAGATGTTGAATGAACCACTGCCAGAGTGGAAAATCTCTACTTTCATTTTCATGCTTCATCCCAGTAAAATATCATTAAGTTATAGTGAAACCAGGAAAGCAGTGAACTGGGAAGGCAAGCAAGAGGGTGTCCCAGATACTGAAAGGAGTCCTTGGACTGGACAAGAGATGGAGCAACTTTTAGGGGCATATGCAAAGAACTTACATTTGTTATTTCCCCTAAAAACCATTAGGCATTGTGGGTTAGATTTGTAGTAATGGACTGATAGTCTGATAATGGCAGAATGGTGCAAGACTCGAACCTGGATCCCAGAAAAGTTGAACCCAATCTGGAAATCACTGCTTCATCCATCTGCCCATCTCAACATAAATCCTTTGTTTTACCACCATCGCTTCTTTGGATGACTTTATTCCCTCAAGGAAAACAAGCACCCCTCTACCTTTGACTCCCAGAAGAAATGCATATGGGAGATATTACTTTTTAGAGGGGATATGCCCAACTTATTTATGTTTCTCTTGTGTGGATCAAAAAAACACCAATTCAATACTCCAACAGAGGACAAAAGCAAAATAAATTTCATAGACAATATGCCAATGGCAGGTCACACTCTCAAAAAACAGAAGGATACTTTGTCCTTGGATTGTGAAACACTGCTGAAATACTCCTTGGGCTGAAAAAGAGTATTAGGTTGTTAAAGACTAAGAGAGAAGACAAGTAGGCAGGAGTATGAACCATCCCTAGGAAGGCATTTATCTTAAAACACTTGGAGGTTGTTAAAGGATGATTTCAAGATGAGAAAGACCTAGAAAAAAGTCATTTGGAGGACCTAGACAAATAGGCAAGGCCCACTCACGTCTGAAAAATATGGGCTTTGCTAACAGGCTGCCCTTGCAGAGTGCTACGCTTCAGGTGAGGACTGTGCTGGCGAGGCCAGGGATCAGCTCTTGGTGCAGATCCGCTTTTGCTGATGATGCCTACGCAGAGAAAGCGTACCAGACATACCTTAGGAGATATCAGCTAGCGTCATTGTTTCAGAGCGGTATTTCAGCCCTTTACAATGTCAAATCTCTAAAAGGGTCTGAACACTAACGTAGGCTGACTATCATTTATGTGCAAAGCCACAGCTCTGAGGTTTATGCGTCTGTATTTAATTTTCTGCCTTTTATGAGAGGGAGGACAGCAAGATGTTGTTCTTGTTATATCCCAGAGCTATGAGAACATAACCTATTCAGCCTGGCATCATAATTCAAAAAAATCAGAAGAAAATGTTTCATGAGACAACACATGAAACAAGACAAAGAAATGTTGCTGATTTAGTTTATTGAGAAAGAAAATCAGGAGTGAGCTGAGTTCCCCAGAGAGCAAGATGAACTGAGGTGAGATCTTTAGCTGGGATTTGCCAGTGGGGATCCTGTGGTGAATTCTCTCAGCACTGATACTCAGCATTTTTCAAAATGGCTTAAAGTGAGAGTCCCATTGCTGTTCCTGAAAGCAAGGAGAGGAAAAAATGGATTAGACCCAGAGTCCTGCCTGCTATGATCTGCCTTTTTACATGGCTCCTAGAGAAGGCATCAGGTAGGATCCTGTCCCAGAGCCAAAGGACTTGCAGACTCAGAGTCCCGTTAGCTATTTGATTACTAAGAGGTGAGTGAAATCATTTAACCCAGTCTTAAGACTGAAAATATTTTGGGGGAAACTATAATGAAAATTCACATTTCGTTTTCTTTGCAGCATGCAAGAAAAATTTCATTAAGGTTAATGGTCTTCAAACCATGCACACTAAAAAAAACCAGACATAGTTCTTTGTATGCTCTAATGAAAAAAAATGAATGGTTGACATGAGGGTATTCTCTCCTGCCCCAAATCCCTAATCAACACTGGCCAGCAAACAAGAAAGTGGCAACTGTGCAAACTTGTGCCCATAAGAGGCAACTGATAACATGAATGTGATCCATGTTTGTACATACACGACTGCATTGCAGAAGTTACACTTATTGCTGTATGTTTTGCCATCAGAGCCACAGAGAGGCATGTACTCAAGTGAGCAGACAGGTTTAGGGTAGTCACTGCAGTCAACCTGCAAAAAAAAAAAGTCTAATGTGAAGGATATGAAGGAGTCAACAGCAGAAGGGCTTGAAACCCTAGCTACCACTGCACTGCTAATGATAACTATCTAACTAAAAGTAATTAACTTCCTTGCACAATCTGATATAAACTGAGGTGTCTGTTCCTCCTAGGCCAGAAGAATTTAATAACATAAAAATAGATCATAATTTCCTGTTTGAAAAGATTTGTATCATAGCCTGACCACAGCATTTCTCAGCAGCAGCAGTTCACTCTGCAAACGTGCCACACTCCTGGTCGCGTTGCACTGTGTTCCCAACCTGGCCAGGAAATTAAATGGAAAAACACTGGTGTCTGGAGAAGTGTAGGTGCTGACGCCTGTGTAAGGGTCCAGTATCTCTCCCGTAGTCTTAAAACAGGAAGATCAGCACTTAGCTAGATACTGTGAGAGCGGGATTTTGTCTCTTTGTGCAATGGGTGCTACTTTTGCTGAAAGGTAGCGTAGTGCAAAAAATGTATACGGGTCCAGGAAGAGGCTGAGGAATTTCATGGAGGAGAAATCTATCAAGGTTTACTGACTACACAGAAATTGCACCAAGCTCAGGTCCATCACTTGAAAATAGCTAGAGGTGGGAAGAGTAGAAGCCCCGTACATACTCACTCTACTCTTAATCTCTCCTACAAAATCCTTACAACCCCTGCTAAGAGCAGGCTCTGCATCAAGCCATCACGGGCTTCATGTTCCATTGGTCTGACCCCAAAAGCCATTCTCTGTTCTTATTCTCAGTTCTGCCCTCATGGGTTATTTCTGCTGCTGCTCTTTTACCGATCCCTTCTCGTGCAGTCACCCTTTTCCTTTTCCAACGTTGGCGCAGATAACATGTATTACGTGCGGAGGAAGCAAAACCTTCCCTGTGCTGAAGCGCAGCAGCAGCGACAGTCCTGTAGGACGCTGCAGACACTGGCAGTGCTTCCCCTGACATCAGTGGGACTGGAACCCCCTCCCTCATCGCGCAGCTCACTTACTGTAGCAACTTCCTTCTGACATTCACCGTCGTGCTTCTTGCCAACACTGGTTCCGGGCTCCCTGGGGAGGAAAGAGACCCGTGTTAGGGAGCTCTGCGAGCAACCTTCTCTGCTGAACGCCGTGTCCCAGCAATGCTGATCAGCCTCCAGTATGGGATACAGGAGACGTTCATCTTAGGTTGTGTCCGCATGGTTCTAGATACCAGCTCAGCTGGTGCCACAGCCTGCTGAAACGCTTTTCTATAGCGTGATGTGAAGGACAAGGGGCGGTCCAGGGTGTTAGAGTGAACGAGGAGCTAGGTGTGTGGCAATGAAGATGCACGTTAGGTTAGTTGCTGTCCTCTGCAAGGCAGCATCTGCCACATAGTCCCTTTTAACTTACTTAAGAGAAGTATTCTGTCCCATGTTAGATCCCCACCCAGCTCTCTACTTCTCTCTGTAGATCAAAGGCACAGTTTTCCTTTTAATCACAAAGGAAAACAGGGTCTAGT